GGTCGCAACCGGTCGCCACATCTTTTTTCTTTTTTTATTTTTTTTTAATTTTTAATTCAATTATTGTTGGGATTGGATAAGGAATGAGACACTTGTCCTTTTCTGATTGGCCTTCCTTAATTTTAATGTGATAAGATAAGTATAACTCAAATTATTGATATTATTTTATATTAAAAAAAATAAAAAATATCAAAATTCGTATTTTTTCATTCTTTATAAATAGAGACCACTCTTGATATGTTTTGGAACACAATTGAAATTTCTCTCTTTTTACCTTTTTTTTAATCACACCTTATTCATTTTTTCATCTCTTTTATTTTTCTTAATTTCACAACTAAAACAATACCAAAAAATCTATTGTAGATAATATTTTATAAATAAATAGATAAAAATTAAATAACTATTATGTTGGGTTGGTTTGGGGATAAAGATATGTAGGTTGTTAAAAGTTGGGTTGTGTAGGTGGAGGAAGGAGAAATAATTTTTTATTATTGGGTTGGATTGGGTTGGGTTGGGTTGTGGATAAATATAGTCTAATGGAGGACAATAAAACTGATGAACTGTCTTTTCACTTGATTAGGACAAATATTCGTGATCAAGACTTGAGAGTGAGTCACAAAGACATGTGCAATCTATGATGCATGAGCCATCATGTTCCTGTAATCATGAATCGGACACCTTTTAGGTCTAGGTTTATTATGAACCCCAAAATGACAGATCATAAAGTTCATTTAGGTTGTTGATAAAGTTGGTTCTCTTCATAGTAATGCCTCATAAGTAATGTACAATGCAAGATGGTGATGATTGAAAAGAATGTGTTGTGCGAAATAATACTATCAAATTCTAGCTTTGAAGGTTGTTGCACACTTTCAAAACACAATGGACTAAGGTTATACCTGGAAGAATTTCACCCTACCGATGTGGGTTGTGGTCTGGGCAGTTAAATCAACATATAATTGCTAGGATGTGTGTATGTGTGTGTGTATGGAGCTACACATGCTATTTCAGAGACTTCAAATTTTAGCTGATAATATGATTTTCTTTTCATTTTATTTTTTTAACTTAAAACGGTCAACCGAGAACTCAGAGCTTTCAAGCAGCGAAAACAAAAGCAAGCCTCAACACAAATCCAAACGTGAAAAATCAAGATAAAAACCACGCAAACCAAAAATCTAGAGATTACATAAACCAATACAACATGTACCACAAACTAAAAGGATCATATTAAACAAACTCAAACGCATTGCAGTACAAGATAATCTTCTTTCCATCCTCAGAGTAAACCAATGGCTTAAAGCAACCTATAGGGCTCTTACTAACACAATCAACTAATGCACCCAGAATATATAGATCAAGAATCTCCAACCCCATACTCCTTCATCACCCATATATTCATTCTGTTCATGTCACCCCAAGACAATCTCCAAGAAAATCCAAACTCTTAATGCTCTTAGCCTAGATTTTCAACAGAAACAACATCTCGAAATATTTTTCACTCTCCATGCTAAATCCTACAATCTTACAGCCATGAAATGCGTCCGTGATAATAAATTGTGGATGACTATGTAATCATCACTTTTTGGGTTGAAGCTCAGCCCGAACAACAAATTGGGAAAATGGTACGGGCCCATGCATCTAGACGGGGAATCGGGAAAAGTTCGGTGCTTTTTTGAATTGGGCTCCATAGAGAGAGCGGGCGCCGAAGGTCTCGATCGAGAGAACGATTAAACCACGATAAGATTTTCCACGAGAGCCGGTACCTCCAATACCTGTCTTGTTGGAGAATCCCAGTCCCGGATGCTCATGTTGTGGTGACTGGTGAGCTGTCAGATGAACTTTCATCGATTTCTGCCTTCTCCGTGTATCCCAATCCAGTGATATCACCATATTATTTCCTCATGGTGAGAAGCTCATTCAAGTCTTTTTGATCTCATTACGTAGCTTCTTCATTACTTCTACAGCACACGAGCATTTCTCCATAGCCAACAAATGTACTGGATCCACACAATTACTTTGATCTGCTTCGTGACCAAAACCATCAGACACATAATTACGAGTTTGAGACTCGTTCATACTTTCATTATATTTCGAAGGACTATGAGTGGTTGATAGACACATAAAACTACTCTTTCATTTTAATGTCATCAAAAGTTATGGTTACTTGCTGAAAACTCGATGACTTTACTGCCTTTGAACATTCAAACTGCTGTCCCAAAATTAGCCATGTAGCTTTTGCAGTTTTACACTGAACTATCATCTTATTTCGTGTTTGATCAACGACTATCAGAATTGAGTACAGGGTTCGAAAATTGGCTTCTTCTTGCAATTTTTGGACATCTGACTATTGATCTCTTGGTTTTAGTACTACCTCCATTAAGGACTCTTTTCCACTGTCAGGTGCTTTCCTTGCTACTGGATGGGTCCATCCATTCTTCAAACTTTCTAAGTGATCGCAAGAAATTGGTTACCATTCATGATTTCCAGTAGGAATAGTTCGAGCTATCCAATTGCGGAGGGCTTTACATGGATCTGCCACTATCATGATTCATAACTGCCCGTTAAGAGAACCATAAGATCTTTGTGTGTATGTACGAAAACTCGCTCTGGTGCCAATTGAAATTTCAGGAAGATATACAAGAATTCTGCAAAACAATTAAACAGTAAACTTTAATTCAAGTTCACACAGTTGCGGAAACAAGGTTTTACAAAATATGAACCTTCAAAGGAGCATCCCCCTCCCCCTCCAGAACTCTTTCGTATATATAGATATATGACCCATTACACTTAAGATTTACAATGAAGACTCTCTCTTCTATACGTACAATGTAATCACCTACACACACTACTTTTCTCATCACAAATTCCTTGTGAATTTTACAACTTGAATCCCTCAAGTTCCTCTAAGCATTCTTCTCGAACAATTATACTAATTGTGCTTACAAAAAGAATTTTATTTTAACAATGTAAGCTCAATATAAGCTCAATGTTTGAGGAAAAAAAATTAATTGTGCTTTCAAAAAGAATTTTATTTTAACATAAGGAAAAATATAAGGAAAAAATCTACACGGGTGTTTATTAATGTTTCAAAAACACCCGTAGAGGAAAAACAATAAACAAAATCTTTCAATAATTTTTAACATAAGGAAAAAATAAATAATAAATATTTATTAATATATTTAACAATATAGTTTTTGAATTTCAAATAGAGTAAAATGCGGGATAATTTAAATTTGTTTTTCAAAAAGTTTCTAAAGTGTTTAATATTATGGTAAATATACCCGTAAGAACAATCTTACCATTTTAATTTTAAAAAAATTGACAAGTTTATTAATGAGATAAATTCGGTTAGGCAAAAGATTAATTAGTTAAAATATTGTAATAATTATATTTTAAAAAATCGATTAGATAAATCTAATTATATTAATTAGTTTGTTATAAATATGATTATATGAAAGTTACGATAGAATGACATGTACCTAAAAAATCTTGTGATATTTTTCTTTAAATGTTTGAATTTAAAAATCTTATAACAAAATTTAGATTATATCACATAAGAAAAAAATAAATAATAAACTATTATTAATATATTGAAAAATATAATTTTGAATTTCAAATAGAGTAAAATGAGTTTCATATTTGCTGGATTCTTTTAATTACCATTATTTATAAACATATTAAAAATTTAAATCCAAAATAAAAGTTTTGAAAAATAAAATTTTATTTTTTAAATCAGCTGCCTAAAAAAGTATTTATTTCGAAAAATGTTACAATACAATTTTTGCTTTTTTATTAAATTTTATTTACCTAATATCCAATTTAAAATTTGGTTACATGGAATCAAAAAGATTGCAAGGATCCACATATTTTGGAATTGTTTCTGCCATCAATCTGTGTCATATGACTTATTTATTTCTTTATACGCTATCATTGCACATGTTTTTTATCTTCAGTTTTATTTACGTAATATACTAATTAATTTCGATGATTGACATTGACTGGGAACTTATTGGAGGTAATTTATAATTAATTTCACACGGTTATAGTTAGATTTGTCTTTTTTTTTTTCAATTAAAGTAACATAAACATTAATGGTGTAATTTTGGTGATTGAGATTGGTTGGGAACTTATTGAAATAAATCAATTTACATATTGACAATAAATTTAAATAAGGAAATGTGCTTCATATTTGCTTGATTCTTTAATTACCATTAATTATAAACCATTAATTATAAACGTATTAAAAGTTTTAATAAAAACAAAAATTTTAGAAACATAATATTTTATTTTTTAAATCAGCCGCTTAAAAAGTATTTATTTCGAAAAATGTTACAACACAAATTTTGTTTTATTATCTTTTTTTTTTATTAAATTTTATGTTCAAAATAAACAAAAATTTTCGAAATATAATTTTTTTTTTAAATCAGACGCTTAGAAAGTTTTTATTTCGAAAATTGTTACAACAATTTATTTTTTGGTTTTTTTATTAAATTTTATTTATATAAGATATACATTAGTGGTTAATTAAATTGAAAATAAAATTCAAGATCACCCCATTTCTATTTTTTTGGTAAAAAAATCAGACGACTGAGTGATTGATTTTGGCGAGTATATATTACCACAAGATCTTCAAATTCTTTGTACACGTTTCTATCCTTAGTTTTTCTTTATTTTATTTTTTTAATTAAACAAAAGTATTTCCATATTTTAAGGGAAGTTAGAATTTCCTAGATTTTGTTATCTGTAATCTATAAAATCTATTACCATATAAAACATTAGCCAAATATTTTAAATAAAATTTGAGGGGGAAATTACACGTTTAAGCGAAAAAATGAAATTAATTTTATGTATATTTTCAAAAAAATTTTCTTAAGTGTATTATATAGTAATAGATCAATGTTTAGATCCATAATCACAAATGCCAAAAACCATAAAACAAAACAGTATACAGCACTAGCAACAGCGCGGCAAAATAAGCTTTTTGAATTGTGAAAATGGCGGCACCAAAATCACCTTCATCTCTCCCTCCTCCCCACACTTCGAAACCCAAATCAAACAAGCTAGAAACTTTCGTCCTCATCATCATCACCTCTTTTACACATTTCGCCGAGAATCATTATCAAATCCGTACAGATCTCACGACTAGCAGCTTCACTATCGGCACACAGTATAACCCTAGCCCTGTACCGAGAAAAATCAAATTCCGATGGAAAATAAAGCTCCTCGAAAACGGCCCAATCAATCCCCAGAAGCTAAACAAAAGAAGCGGGTCGTGTTGGGGGAGCTCACTAACATATTGTGCAATGTCCCCCGGGCGACCCAAAACTCGGCTGTGGGAAAAACCAGAGAGATCGGGACCGAGTCTTTAACCGAGAGAGCTGGAAATGGGAGGAATTCAGGCTTGGAGGGTAGTGCAGGATCTTGTAAGCAGCAAAAATTTGGATATGCTGCTTCCATATTTCAGCATCTACACTCTTTGGAGGTATCTATTTTTTTTGCCTTGCTTTATTTATTTACCGACAACCTGTTAAATAATATCTTTTGACAATGTATTGGTGCAAGCACAGCATAAATAAGTGTATAGTTTGTAAGTATGGATATATATGTATTCTCTGTTTTCTCTTGATGATTGTGATTTTTCTGTCATTTAGTGTACAGAGATATGAGTGTTGTTATCCTAATATGTGCTGAAATTTGTGGACAATTTATCGTGAAATTTTAGTGAGTGGAGAATGATTATTTTGGCATCTGTATATTAGTATGTTGGCCTTGTAATATTGATTTTATTGATCGCACTTGGATTTCGATGATCAAATGTGGGAATCAGTACTGATCTTAGCCTGCGCCTTTATTGTTTGTCATACTTTATGGGAAAATGTTGGTGTTGGTGAAGTTTATATGTTGATCTATGGTTTATATCCACATTGGAATCGCATATTGCTGAGATTTGGTATTAAACTGTGCCATAATCCTTGATATGGTTGCTCATTTTTTTCTGTAGCTGTAGATTAACATTCCTTGTGGACCTACTTTGGGGAAAATTACATCTCTTAGAACTATGATTATCGATTGAATTAAAATAATGGACGTCATACCATTTACCTTACTCTATCTTAATACTCCCAATTACAAAAAGTTTGATTCTGTACTCCACTTTTATGCATTTTTCTGCAAGATAACTGACAAAAGTTATTTACAGCTCTTGTCTCCTGGAACTTGTCTTATTGGTCTTTTTTGCCATGTAAATGTTTGTGATATTAGGTTGAGGTGAAAAGGAGGCCTTTGTCTAATTACTTGGAAAAAGTTCAGGAGGACATAAATCCAGCTATGAGGGCCAAACTGATTGACTGGCTAGTTGAGGTTGCAGAGGAGTACAAACTTGTTTCAGACACACTGTATCTCACTGTAAATTATATTGACCGATACCTTTCTACCCATAAGCTGCTCAGAAATAAGCTTCAGCTTCTTGGTGTATCTTGCATGCTAGTCGCATCGTAAGCCAGTGGTTTTCTTGATTCTTATTTGCTCATATTTTGCTTGCATTCCTTATATTGATTCATTACAACTGCAGAAAACATGAAGAAATCAAACCCCCGCACATCGAAGATTTTTGCTATATGACGGACAACACGTATTCAAAAGATGAGGTCTCTGGTTTTTTCAGTAGTTTGTGGTTGTGGCATATAAGCATGTGATAGTAATGCTGGTGTGGGTATTTTTTTTTTGTCTGTCCAATAACAGGTTGTGCATATGGAGAGAGAAGTCCTCAAATTGTTAGATTTTGAGATGGGTAACCCAACAACTAAAACATTTCTCAGGTTAGTAATTTTAGTATCCTCTATGTGAATGTGCATAGGTTCCTCTCTCTCTCTCTGTCTCTCTCTCTCTCTCTCTCTCCCCCTCTCTTAGTGTTTTGGTGGATTTTACAGAATTTTTACCAGGGCTGCTCAGGAAAAACTCGCGGTAGGCTCAAATTCATAAACTCGTTATCTATATTGCAAATCATATCCATGCTCATAAAATATCTGCATATAAGTCTCATCAAGTGCTTTCTTTCCTTTTTCTCCCTCAGTTTTCAAATCTCCAGTTCGATTTTTTATGCTATTATCTTTCGGAGCTAAGTTTATTGGATTACGGTTGTGTCCATTACGTTCCATCAATGGTAGCTGCCTCAGCCATCTTTCTTGCAAGATTGATTATGCAGCCAGAATCTCCCCCATGGGTAAGCATAGCCAAATTATAGACTGTAGAAAATTCCTATTTGATTCATTAGCCAAATTATAGACTGTATAATGAATTGGACTAATAAAATGATGAGATACTTACAATAGTTACAAAAATCATTGTTAAAACTTAATTTAATTACATACCATCCAGTTATCTTTCAAAGTTACAAACTTAATTTAATCATCTGTTTATGTTTTGTTCTCCAAATTGCAGTCCCTTGAGGTGAGGGATGTAATTTGTAAAACAATCACAAACTTCAAAGATACTTGTAAAGCCTTTTAAAACTCTTAAAATAAGATAGTTGATTTTCAAATTTGCTCCTTCGGATGGATTTTTGTCCCGTAACACATACTGTATCAATTTGTTTGTAGTGTTTACTGATTATGCCTTCTAAAGTGAAATGCATGCAAAGTACAATTGTTTTAGTGTTTACTGTCTATGCCTTCTAAAGTGAAATGCATGGAAAGTACATCCCCATGAATTGAATTGATTTGTTATGCTACTCGGATTTTTTTTTCTTGTTTTTTTNTGGTAGACCCAGGCATTGCAAAAGCACACGGGTTACAAACCATATGAATTGAAAGTGTGTGTTTTCAAACTTCACAATCTGCTTCTCAAAAGTGAAACGTATACACAAGCTGTCAGGCAGAAGTATTTGGATCACAAGGTACCATTTTGAATGTTACATTTTAGTTATGTTCACTATAGTGAAACCAAATTTTTAATCAAATTCTAACAAGTTACAAATTGTCATCATGGAGCAGTTCAAATGTGTGGCCTCAATGAATCCTCCCTTAGAGATTCCTTCAAGCTTTTTTGAGATCTCACACGAATGAGGATTTGCTTGTCTGCTCATGATCTCAACTTGTTAAGGTAAGGGCCATGAAAGTATGGGTGTCCGGTAAGATTTGTGAAGCTGTTGTAAGTTGCATTGTTTGGAAGAAATTCAAACTAACTTGTCAGGTCGTGTGAATGACCTGTTTTTAGCGTTTTGTTGGATAGGAGTTTGAGTAATTAAATAAACACTTCTTGATAATTTAGAATAAAGTGCAATGTGTACATACTCTTTGATATGGTTATCGGACTAGCCATTTGAATTAAAAGAAAAAAAAATTGTAATGATTTGTGCATATTGTAATGCTAAAGGTTTTGGAACAAACAGCATAGTTTGCTTCTTATCTGAAGTGTGTTCGTGTTGTTTGTTCAATTTCCTAAGAGCTTGCATTATAGAGAGGGAGGTGGGTTTAAGTGGAGAATTTTTAGTTGAGAAGAAAAACAAACTACCATTATTATATTTTATCTATAATTTGCACTTGCAAATTATATCTATGAAAAAATTTGGCTAAAGGATTTGAATGGTCATAATGTTGAAAAAATTTGGATGATTTAGCCTTAACAAACCTAAACAATCAAATTGTTATCCTTAATAAACATAATGAAACAAGTTGTTGATGCCTAAATTTATTTTTTATCTCATCGTTTCATTTGCACTACATTTTACTTTGTTATGTGAAATTTAATAGTATAACAAAATTTAAGTTTAACTATAAAAGAAAAAATTAAATTTATGTAACAAAATAAGTAAATTTATTAGTGTATATAAAATTTAAATTTATGTAACAAAATAAGTAAATATATTAGTGTATATTTGGTCAAAATATTTCATAGAAAAACAATCAATTAAAAGAATAAAAAGTTGAGAAAAAAATTTAAGTGCCGTGAATGGAATTGTTTGTTTGTGCTACATGCACATCTTTAGACTAGTGCAAAAACAGTAGCTCAACATTGAAGCAAATTTTTAATACAATTTTAAATTAAATTTGGATTATAGAGTTACATTGGAGTTGTTAACAAGTCTTCGAAATAACTTATTTCCCATTGCTAGCGCTAAAAGTTAAATTATATGATTATATCACAAGTCTTTTTGGCATGTAAATGTTCGTGGTGTTAGGTTGAGGTGAAAAGGAAGCCTTTGTCTGATTACTTGGAAAAAGTTCAGGACATAAACGCAGCTATGAGGCCAAAGATGATTGTATCTTACTGTAAATTATATTGAGCGATACCTTTCCACCCATAAGCTGCTCAGAAATAAGCTTCAGTTTCTTATGCTTGTCGCATCGGAAGCTAGTGGTTTCCTTATTCTTATTTGCTCGTATTTTAAAATTTGGATTTCAAATTATACATGTACAATTATTAGATTAAACTAGTACGGTACCCGTGCGATGCACGGAAGTATTTATTATTTATTTGCTTTTTAAAATGTATTTTTATATTTAAATTGTCTCATGGCACTAAAAATATCATGAAAATAAAATTTATATGTTATTAAACACTTCTTTGTGTACAACATTATTGGTTTGATTCTTTGGCACGTAAAGTACCACATAGGTGTTCGAATTTTATCTAAAATTGCATATTTTTAGTTATTAGTTAACATACTTTAAAAAAATTAAAGGATCTTATTATTAAACAAAATTGTAGTAGAAAAAAAGTAGAAAATTTTAGGGATTTTCACCCATTATTTATTTTAAAATCTAATTCTAAATTTCAATTAAGAACAATTGAAAAGAATCATTAGTTACTCCTAAAAATAAAACCGATTTTCCAACCAATAAACCGATTTTTTTTATCAAACAAATTGATCCGAATATTTTTCTATGCCAAATAAAAAAATCATCAATTTTTCCTAAAAATGTAACCGATTTTTCCTAACATTGCACCGTTCTTTTTACCGAACAAATTGAATTGAAAATAATTCTAATAAAAATTTAAATAATTTGTTAATGTTTATGCAACTGTTTCTTTCCTAAAAAAATGATATGAACTTAATCCAAAAGAAAAAAAATGATATGAACTTACCAAAATCTCGGTAAAACATGGTTAAGAAAAAACATAAGAATCTAAAAAAATTGATGCATTTAAATTTTGAAAAGTTGCACACTCTTTTTCCTAAATAATTGGATAAGGTGACTTTAAATATCAAAGATGAACCGCTTTTCTTACCAAAAAATGTGGACACAGTTTTGAATGTACATCCCGTCTAAATATCAGTTTTATTATAAAATAAAAATTGCACAGGGTTATATCCAATTTACACACTTTTTTTGAAAGAAAAAATTATTCAATAAGATTGGAAGAAATAGTTAAGAATTATACAACTATTTGTTTTCTAAATTTGTATCCAATTTGCACAGTTTTTAAATTAATTTTTATCTAGAATTGTTTTCATAAATAATTGACACATTTTTTTTCATAAGAATCTCAAAATTTGGTACCAAAAAATATATGTTTAAAATTTTGGTAAAAAAATAATATATGATACGAAAAAAATGAAATTCAGATTTTGCCATAAAAGTCTCCAAATTTATTATCAAAAAATAGGATTCAGATTTTGTTACTAAAGATTCACATGTGTGTTTTTCAAACTTTCCATTAATAGTAAGTCAAACATTATATTTATTTGGTCAAACTTTCTATTAATGTATTTTTCCAACAACCTCTTTATATAGATATAGATATAGATATAGATATAGATAGATATAGATATAGATAAGCCATATTGTACATGTATTTTTTTATATAGTTATGTTATTAATATAATTTATACGATAATTATCTTAAAACGATTAATCTACATGATATATGATATTTATATTTTTCATTTTATTTTTATTTTTTATTTTTATTTTTGCTTTGGCTTTACTGTAATGATTATTATTAAAATGCTCAAAATATATAAAAAATTATAATATTCATTATATTCATACAAAATTGTCTTTAATATATTGCAAATTTCATATTTATATTTATTTTTGTTACTAAAATCTAAAAATTAAGCTAAGATGTAATAATTCTAGAATAACTTTAACAATTCAATTACCAAATGTGATACATGTTGTAGGTAAAAGTTTTTGAGCCGATCTAAAAGATATATGTTTATCGTAGAAGAAATGACCTGAACTTGTTCAAGCCCTCGAATTTGAGCCCTTGGAGCCAATAAAGGAGCCCAAGAATCCTCCATATACATTGTGATGAACCATTTTTTATTGGAGTGTCAATCACCCTGCTAGCAATTCTCGCCGATCTCTTTGCAGAATGTGAAAGAGAACCGGCAAAGAAAATTGATAAAGCCACCATCCAACCGTTCTCGTTATCAAAATCCGAAACGAATGTCCCATCCTCAAAAGTCGAATTTTTACATGACGACATGCGTCAACCACCTCGCCCCTAAAATAGCGTACCACCATCATTACTTTTCTACTTTTATTCATGTACAAATGAGGCGCAATGCACCTCAATTGAGGCTGAGCAAAAATATGGAAAACACAACACAAAACTAACTCTTGAGAAAATGATCACTTCAAACGAAGCAAAGCAAAGTCTGAAAAACACAACACACAACTATGGATAAAAATACATCAATAAATGCCGAAACATCTTTGATTAGTAATCTAAAGTTTAAAACAAAAAAGTGTTTGTGCATCGTACAAGTTGCCTACTAGTAAGAAAAGGTAAAAACAACGTTCAGTTTTGTTTTATTTAGTAACAAAATATTTTTTAGGAGAAAATATTATTTTAAGTAAATACAAACTTTTTTATATAGATATACATATAATATGCAAACACATCACTTATATTATTTTATTTACACATGTGCATGTGCATGTGTAAATAAAATGCTATGTTGTTGTTGTTGTATGTGCATGTGCACAAAATCGACTATTAGAATTTTTTTACAATGCTTAATTATATTTGTAATATCTTTTGTCAAATTAATTAATATTTAAGATTTAAAAATTATTTCTTTTTGAGCAAATTATTTAGAAGAGAAATGTTCCCCTACCCACAGTGGACACCGCTTATGTGGCATGCACACATTGATGATGTATTTTTTTAATATATTAAAATCACCAATTTGCATGCCACATAAGCGGTACATATTAACATGTGCTCACCGTGGGTAGGAGAGCATTTCCATATATTAGAAATGGTCTAAATCGTCATCAGTTACAGCACTTTTTAACAAAAGCGTTAGATGTGAAAAAGGTCAAACTGAAGTTCCTCCCAAGAAAAAATACAGACGACGGCAAAAATATACACAAATAATTTGTAGCTCTTGTTAAAAGTCATTCAGCGATGGAGTGGGAAGGTGACGAGAAGGAGCTGAAGGCGGCCGGCGCGGTGGCCCTCGGCGGCGGTCGCGTCGGATTTCTTATTCGCGGTTGGGAGATCGAGTCTCGCAAGCGTCCTATTCTTAGCTCCTCCCTTGTCCACGAGTACTGTTTCTCGTACCTCGTCTTTCATAAATGCTTTCCTAAATCTTGTTGTTAATCTTTTTTTCATTAGCTTATGATTTATCACTGACCTGAAAATCAGTTAATAGTTCATATTTACTATCGATTGGGAATTATCTCGTTTGTTTGCTCTATTTACGCGCTGAGGATTTGCTAAGTTTTTAGGTCAAAAGCATTTTTTTTTTTTTTTTAATTTTCAAGGACAAAATTAGAAGATTGTTGTGCTTGTTAACTGTGTTGAATGTAAAAGATGGTGCTGTGTTCGTTCTGGTTGCTGTGCACGAAAGTTTCCTTGTGTCACTGTCACTATCTTAAGCAAAATGACATCTTTTACTAAAGAAAGTTATGTTTTTTTTTCTTGTTTCCTTACGAAGTTTGCACTTTGTTACTTACCTTTGATCTAATTTCTGCTTTCTACATCAAATTGTTTTGAAATTCTTCTCACCCCATATCAGCACAAGGAATCTTTTGGTAACCAGATAGATTTTGTTTGACGAAAATCTTCAATGATCAACACATTATTCTTGCTAAGGTCACATTGTTCACCTTGAATTATCATTGACGTTGTCTGTACCTGTAGGTGGGAAGAGAAGCTTCAGACATCGCACTTGCCAGAGATGGTTTTTGGGGAAAGTTGTTTGGTTCTCAAGCATGTGAGTAGTGGTGTAAAAGTACATTTTAATGCATTTGATGCTCTATCTGGCTGGAAGCAGGAAGGGTTACCTCCGGTTGAAGTTCCAGCAGCTGCAAAGTGGAAATTTCGATGGTATGCATGTCAGATCTCCATTTGCTTCCTTAAAGGCTGGGGACCTTTGATTTCGTATATAACATGTGCATGTTATGTTCAAATTACTCAAACTGAAAGCACTTAAGAAATGCGATTTCCAAAACTTTGAGAAATGCTCAGGAGATATCAATGCGACCTAGAGGCTTAAGACCAGTGCATAGTTGAGTTTTGTTATCTCAGGCACCCATTCTTTTAGCTTTATGTTTGAGGCTGTGTTGTGAGAATATGTTAAACAAATTTGTAGCACTAAAATTTCAAACAAGTATAGCATGTTTGACTGTCTCACTCCGTGACTTTGACTGACTTAAGAATTGATGCCATAGTGTGCACAAAATAATGCCACTATTTTCATTTCTGGCTAGTCGCTGTACCTCTTCTCAGTAGTTGTTTTTCTAAGCCATGCAGCAAGCCTGATGATCAGGTGATACTGGATTACGACTATACATTTACTACACCATACTGTGGAAGTGCAGATGTCGAAATACATGCTGAGGTATGTCCTCTTTCTCTGATCATATGAACTACTATCTTAAAATAGAGAGGATTTGTCTGTCATTCTGCTATCTTTTGCACCTTATTTTTTGTACATTGACCTGATTGCTTTTAAATTAATTTCTTGTCGTACACTGTTACCTCATTTCCAGTCTGGAATAGGAGCACCAGTGGAAAGCAGCTGCAATACTACTTGGGTAGACTGCCAGGAAAAAATTGATAAGATTGCATTGACGTCTAAAGAACCCATTCTTTTCTATGATGAGGTCCGTGATTTGTCAGATATTTACTTCATTTCTTGATTCTGTTTATCGTGTCATGACCAACATCATCTTCAATGTAAATAGGTTGTATTGTATGAAGATGAATTGGCTGACAGCGGTGTCTCTCTTTTGACTGTTAAAGTGGTAAGCCGAATCTTCTGGTAACTTTAATCTCCACATTGCTTGGGTTTGCTGGTCTGGTGGACAAATTATTTCCTCTTTATGTGTGTGATGTTGCAGAGAGTGATGCCGAGTGGCTGGTTCCTCCTCTTGCGCTTCTGGGTGAGTGTTGTAAAAGTTCCATAAGATAATCCCTTGACAACACAGAAAAAGAGATTCTCTGTTATGAATATTCAGAAGTGGCTAGTAAACTTTCTGGAAACTTGATGTCTCCTCCGTGTTCACCTGGAATGCATATGTAACTGTCATATATAATATATTTTCTAAATCAAACAATCATTGCTCGTGTTACAAACTGTTGATCTTTGGTTATTGATTATTTGGTATCATCTTATAGCTCAGAGTTGATGGAGTGCTTATGAGATTGAGGGAAACTCGTATGCATTGTACTTTTGCGGAGAATAAAGAGACGATTGTTCTCCGAGAAAGCTGCTGGAGAGAAGCCACCTTTAAGGGCTTATCATCTGTGAGTGATTTTTGTCTTATTTGTGAGTATATATAATTTAACGTTTCCCTAGTTGGGATCTGAAAGTAGTTACTTCTTTCTTCAATCATCTAGATGTCGCTGTATTCCTTGTTTTTTTCTGTATTTTCACTTCACTGGCTTCTATGCAATAATTTAAACTCTGGGTTCTGGTCTCTTAATAAACTAATTCCGAGTTCATTCTATAGGACTCGGTTATCAAGTATTAGTGTTTCTTTTTCCTTTCATCATTTCTTTATTTCTTCTGTTTGAATCCATACTCTACTTGTTATTGCAGAAAGGATATCCTACTGATGCTGCTGCGTATAATGATCCTGGTGTTATTGGTGACAGGCTACCAATTGTCATGCGCAAGACCCAAAAGCTTGTTATCAGATAAATATTGTAAGCTCTATTGAGCCCTCAACATTAATCATTACTGAAGAAGTATTATTAGTGTCCTTGAAGATCTTTCTATGATGAATGCTTCTCATATTCATTTGAGGCAACCATAATGAGATTGATTGGGTACAAAATTAGTTGTTAATGATGTGAAGAGAGTTTCATACTGTAACCATTCAGTTTAAATTTTTCGTATTCCTGCCTTTCGGTTGACGGAAATAAAACACCAAATGCTGCATACTAGAGTAGATAGAAACTGAATCATATCATTCCACAATGTGTAATTCTGATAAATTCTGTTGGGTGCATAAAAATGGAAACTAAAACATGTAGAGAACCTCTAGATATTGTTGAAGTGGAATGGTTCACAATTAGACCTTTAAATGAGAAACAATGGCCCTTTGGTGGTCAACACAAACTTTTGCTAATTTGGGGGAAGACCTTCACATGAAAACACGAAAGCTTAATAAATTGTGAAGTAAGCAATTTAGTCATATCCTAACGTTAATTGACAATATTGGCCATGTTGCATTGTTTAGAACATGATAAGTTGTCAACAACTTGGCTATTGATGAAATTATTCAAGCACATGCACTCCCTAATCAATGATGTACCATTCAAGTGGTGTTTTGTGTTATTGAGTATTGTTATTTAATGTGGACAGACAAGGTTCATGATAATTGTAAATCTTAAACAGTCTTTTTCATATGCATTTATTCTGCTGGAAGATAACTCTTTCATCTAGTATAAGAGCAATTAACTCTCCCCATTTATCATGTGAGGATATATATAGTACTTGAGGAAATAAAAGAGGGCAAAAAATGTAAAAATAATTAAAATCGGGTCATATCCACAAATTTCAAAGGCTATTATCAACCATGTACTTATTTAATGAACTTGATATCAAACAAAATAAAGTTCAACCAAATAATATAATTGGCTTCAATTATTCTTTTATAGAAACTCATGAAACATTTTTGGAATTAATCAAGTCCTATTAGAATGTTCCACCAAATGCTGAACTAACCAGCATTCACCACTGCTCCATTTCTCAGTTTTTAGCGACCATCTTTTTTTGCATTTATCTATTATTTCTCCATTTCTAAACTTCCACTATCCTATTTAAAGATGCATACCTGTGTAGCCTGGAGGTTTTAAATAGGTGCTGCTTGGCTAAATGGCAATATATCCTCCGCTAATGGCTATCATTATGCATTTGTTGTTATATATTAAAAAAAAAAAATAGTTATTCATAGGCATGTTACTGTTTACTCTTGCTCATTCACCAATGAAATTCATCTTTAATTTCTTGTGATCTTGTAACTAGGGATTCATAGCCTCTTTTTTGCTTTTCCTTTTCCCTTTTGTTTATCAAACTTTTAAGCATTTTGTAACTCAAATGCTTGACTTTGATTTAATGAAAGCATTGCAATAGATCTTTGAACCGTCTTTTATGTGGAGTTCTGTATTGCGCTCCTATTCCTTTAGGTTGCAAAGTTCTGTAGTGCTATGCTTGTATGTGTGTACGCTTGTGTGTGTGTGTTCACACACACACACACACAAATTTTCAAAAGGAATGGACCCACTGAGCGATCTGAAATTTTTTCAAGGTGATTAATGCAAATAAACCATAAATATGGTTTTTGGTTGAGGCAAAACAGACTCTGGCAATCTTTTCGTTTTATAAACCAAGTTAAAATAGTTGGGCTCTCTTTAGGTGTCTAAGCTTAAATATACTTACTTGCTCCATAACAAATAAAGAGTGGAAAATTCTTTACCAGAAAACGAATAAAAGTTTGAAAACTTCGTTATTAACGAAAGTTCTACTCGATTCTAACTGATTACCGGCATCCCGAGCTTTAAATACCGATTGGTAGCTAACTTTATTCCTTGAAAAAAAAAAATCACAAGAGTGGGTTATTAACTAGTGTAGAACACATCCATAAGCTGATTACAGTTTAAGACTCAAGTCGAGCTTATTCGACACTGATGATTTCTGCTCTGGAAGTTGTGGATCCAGCCGGAAGCTTCCGGGCCACATCAAATCTGCAGCTTCCTGGCTTTTGCCAGGCTGGCATGCTGTGCCGAGTCTTGCATTCACATCTTTGCCTGGTTTGTGCACGAGGGCATGAGTTTGCACGCCAAGCGATCTGAACATGGAAGGCATAGCCATCATCGTCATCATTTTGTGCGACTGGTAATGTTTTGCTACGCCTCTCTCCCTTTTGTGTGCATTCTGGTGCCCACCTAGCGCTTGAGAGCTGTAGAATTTTCGCATGCAGAAATTGCATGAGAAAATCTTGGCTGGAGCAAGTCTTGTTTGCACCTCGTCTTCGATGATTGTTTGTGGTTGATTACTGCCCAGGCTCAAATTTAGCCACTCTCCTTGATTTTGTTGTGTTTCTTGATCTATACTTTCTTCACTAGACATTGTTTTTCCTCTGGCTGTGGCAAATNCTCCTGTGAGTTGAAAGTACGGCTAATATATGGAAGTATTCTTTTGAATCCTTCTGTTGACTCTTGATTTGGTTTACTATATATCGGAATGGAATGATGCAGTGTGATAGAAGACATCTTAGATCTGTCATATGTCTGTTCATTGTCCCCACTAACTGATGCTTGGTTTTCTAATGGGGAATGCTTATGTCATTTTACATTGGTGCACCTGTCAAGCTTTAGATTCCCCACTGAACATTTTCTTCTTATCTGCTGTGAAACTAACATTAATTTTAACTGCTTCCCGTTGGACTTTGTTAAAAAATATACTAGTGTTTTACAATCTGGTGACAATACCATTTGCAGTAAAATCATCTCTCTATCTCTCTCTCACTCACACACACACACACACAAAGTGAATCAGTATCTTCCATATAGCTATCCTTCTAAGGTGTTGCTAATACTTCAGGTTTGTTTACTTAACAATTACCACCTTCAGGTTTGTATCTGCAATCTCTAAAATTTACGGAGCGCTTTTTCTAATATTTTTAATTTTGTGACGAAGTAGTTCACGCGGGTAATTTTATCAAATGCAGTTTTTTTGTGACAAAGTAGAACCTAATTCTAGTTCAGGAATAGTTTCGGCCATTATCCTATATCCTGGTTAGCAACTTTTCTTCACTGTTCTTTCTTAGGCTGACATATGGTGAGTTCGGAAGGCTTTCAATCCAGGTAGGTATGAAGTATGAGTATGGAACCCACTTAGAAAGTGTGTTCCCCTTGATAAATTAGAAATATCAGTGAATAATAAATCTTTGATCTGGAATATAGATGTTGCAGCTAGTGGTCTGTATCACATATGGAGAAAGTCCTGTGGAAAGTGGTNAACAAAAGAAAAATCTGATAGCATGAGTATCTTGGTGGGTGCCTTGATGTTGGGACTTCTTGGTGGCTTTGATTTGTACTTTGATCCTACTTTTCTCACATAGTATGTGGAGATAAAAAGAGGATAAAGCCTACTTTCCTCTGTGGGTTATCTGATCTCCCTCACAGCCATGAGTTTATCAACTTTATTCTGTAGTGATTGTTACACTACTGCGTGTGTGTGAGAGAGAAAGAGTTTCTTAATACACACTGGTATTCTCTGTACACATTTACTTGAGCAAAATTTCATGATGATTTGACAATGTGCAATTAGGTTTCCATTTTGGTATACTAAATGAATTTGGCAAAACATTAGGTGGAGGAATTTTATACTTGAAATGATCTTGAAATATGTGATGCTTGTCATTAATGGCATGTAAATATGATTCTTGAGTAGAAAATCTATGAGTGATGTTGTATATTTCAATTTTTTTTTCCCCTTTGGAGTTGGAATGCTGAGTGTTGGCACAAATTAGGTGTTGTGCTGACGTGGGGGGACATGATTGGTTTATGGAAAGTAGATTAGGAAAGAGGCACAGTTTACTTTGTAGATGGAACTGGTTGTTGCATAGGATGTTTGGATTGGTTCTCTGTCAAAGTGAACTAAGGAAAGAGATAGGATTGGATTGGATTGGATTTGGGAGAATCAGCAAAAGTAGAATTTGTTTTGGTGGGGAGACTTTAACGTACAGGTCATGATGCTTCGTGTTCTTTTCATCTTTTCATCAGCAGAAGAGTTTACAAATTACAATTTTTTTTTTTTTAATCTTTTATTAGAAACACTTACTGTAATTTGCACAAAACTATGAAAGAGACTCATGTATTATGTAGGATGGTAACAATTACTATTTTCTTATCTGGAAATGGAACATTTATTTAATTAGTAACTGAAAAAGTTGGATAGCTAAAAAGACTGGATTTAGGATAAATACACTACACCCAGACGTCTAGATGCCATCATCACAATGCAAAAACATACCTAAAACTAAACTAAAATCTCTATCATGAAGCCTAATTAATACAAATAAAACTACATATTGAACCAGAAGCATGAAAATACAAGAGCATGAAAATACAAAAAAAATCTAATTTGCCTTTTTTTTTGTTTTTGTTTTTGTAATTTATGTTCCTTTTCTCCATTTAATATGTTTTGATCACATTTTTTTATTATTCCACCACAAATTTTGTATATGTATGCATGTGGCCCCAAAATTATTACGAAATGGAAGCCGACGAGATGGGCATAATGTTGAACTTGATATTGTCCCTACTTGGGAATCAAAACGCTCCGTTTCATCACACTTCTTGGCCAATTTGAAGAGACACTACTCCAAAATTATAATTATTATTGCAGCATCATAATTGTAGTTCTGAATGTTAATTTTATGATTTTCTATTATTTCGTTCCTCACACAAGGATAGATTCATGATAATTTTCAATTAGTAGAAGAAAACGCAGTACAATTGTCCATGAAGTAAAAGATCGATGTATATTTTCAACTCTCGTTGGCACAAATATTAGGTCGATATATTTTTTTCATAGGGACAGATGCAAACCTTTTAACCGTGGTCCGTGGGCAAAAATTTATATTTATATTTAGTGTTTTTAACTTCTGATTACTGTTAATAACTCACTCAAAATGCATGGTCCGCATGGATGAGTTGCAGAGCAATGAGGTATCACCGTGGCGCCCCAATTTTCGTCCTTTTAGGCGCTCGAACAATTACATGTTGCCTATGCAGCTAGGCGGCGCTTAAGCGGTCCAGGTTGTCTAGGCACCCGTGTATTTTTTTTTCTTCAAAATATAATAGAAAAGATTTTTCATTTCATTCATGAAATGTACAATAAGTGATAATGAAAAATTATAATTATGTAAAATTAATATAATAGTTACAAATATATAATATTTTAAAAAATCTTTCTATTTAACCATACTAATTAGTATATTTTATAAAATATAACTTAAATTATGCATGATTTTAAAATATAATTATTAGTATTTTTACCATCCCAGTGCTAGGCCCCAAATCTCCGTCTAGCGAGCGTCTAACGCCTTTTAAAACTTGGAGAGCAGTTAACCCATTAGACTATAGTTTATTACTATAATTAACCTAAAAAACAAAATTGTTATAGTAATAAACTGTTACATTTACATTAGTTAAGTAATAATTATATTTTTAACTACTCTATCATATAGTAGTTACTGTTAAAACTAACTAATTATATTTTATACTAATTGATATTGAAATTCACATAAAAATTTAAAACTATACTGCGGTTCTTTTTTTCAAGGTACTTATAATAAAATCAATATTAACTTTTCTTTTTAGCATCTCATTAAGCGTTATTTTTTTTTTTAAATAATCTAATTGGTTCTAGTGATTCTAATGATAGTCAAACCCTAAAAACTGCCTAAGGATTTGCTATAATAATAATTTTAATATTTTTCAACTAATTAATTGGTTATGATCCATCAAAATTATAAAAATTACATTATTCATTATGTTTTAATGCAATCAATATAGCGATCATATGTTGTTAAATAGTCTATGTTGTTTATTTTAATCAAAATTTTAAAAGGTGATACAATTATCTAACTTTGAACTTTGATGTTTGAAAGAAAAAAAAAATACAGTTATCTAACTTATAATTTTAATATTATATCTGTATATATAACTTATAATAGTTTATTTACTTGGTATATATGTGTATGTAGCTATGTCCGCAACATCGAAAACTGATTTTATAAAATAACATAAAATGCTTTTAATGATTTTGGAATTACACTACACGGGATTTTATATTATTTAATTTCAAATGTTAATGGAGAAAACTGTACTGGTATAAGAAATTCACCATTCATTATAATTGACGTCTACATTGTCGAAAGTAAGCAAAGCCACTAGAAACTGAGCAGAACTTCCACGATCTGAACATTTGGAAAAATTGCCAGAGCTACATATGAAGTTTAGACCAACTAGGAACTACAGATATCATATGATGAAATTTCGATCTTCGGGTTGAGCAACAACTGTGCATTACTTCACCGATTTGTTCAAGTACCTGCAATACAAAGCAAGATTCACATGGTTCTCTTTCAATGCATAGATGAAAATAGCAGGAACTAATGTAATGTCTTTATTTCAAGCATATTAGAAAAATCATCAATATCATAGTAGAAATTAAAAAAAAAAATTGACGGCAAACATGCCTTCTGGCACCAAACCACGAACGATATATTGATACATGTCTAATGTAGTTAAACGTGCCCACACATCATTCGTGTTTGGCACCATACGAAACGTGATCAGCTGATAACAGCCTTGGAATTAGGCGATAAGAACATAAAACCGATCCAATTGGGATATTCTTGCTTGCTGAGTAGTCAACCACTCAATACGAGCATTAGAATTAATGCTCGCCACTCGTTCCTTAATGTGCACTATTATAGTGGAGCAAACAGATATCCAGAAAGCGAAAATACAATACAAGGGCAATGTTTTGATAATTAGAGCACTGACTTTATATGTAATTGAAGTGATGCAACAATTGTGGCCACTTTGGATTTATTTATACACTATTCTTTCACCCATATAATGGGCAAAATATGTCATGATGAATTGTTACCCTGATTTCGCCAAAATTAAGAAAGATTTTGACAATAGGGTATCTGGGTACACACTAAAGGGAACATGAAGGTCGAAATTGATCTAAATTCTAAAAAGTATGTATATTTTTCATTTCAGTGCCAAAATACAATGTCGGCAGATACACACTTGCAGCAAAAATGAGAAACAATAAAGCAAACATTCAAATCACACAGGGGGCATATTTTGATCTAGCTCCAGGTCTCACTAACCATAGCATGTACGTACCAAAGCAACTTTGATATGACTAGCGAAGGACATCAAGATCAAATTCAAAACATAGAAAAAAGTTAATGAGACAGACAATAATGTAAGTTAATCCAGAAATCAAGCAAATTGTATTACACAGAACACTCCGAGTCCCTAGCAAACTACCCTTGAAATCACAACCACATACTAGCTGAACTATCATAATTTTAAAATGAAAACAAAAAAATTGGTTAATGTATTATTTTAATCAATCCATAACTAGCAAATTCTCTAGCTGAGAGTTAGCTTATACTCCACAGCAAGCAATATCATAGAATCATTTAAACTGCTTTCACATTTATGTAATATCAGTATCTAAAATACTCAAGCATCCAGCCTTTTGAATCTTATGAAGCTCTTCTCATGTTAGCATCACCAATCTATTCCATCTACTTCCAACATTTAGTCGTTCTATTAAGTTTCAAAAAGCTAACTAATTTTATAATCAGTTTGCTCTTTTATTCATCAAACTATTTCAGACACGACGCAATCAGTCAAATCAATCAAGTAACAAATCACCACAAACACATAAATTTTTTAATTTCTATCATACCCTGGAACTTTCCTAAATTCAATAGTATCAGACTCACAAATAAACTACTAGCGATCCTGACAATAACGGCGGAAGGTACCATGGGACAGCTCACAGAAAGCCCGCACGTTGACAGCCAAGTGTGATGTCATCCTTGCTCCAGTCACCATACTATGCAGTGGCATTAGTGATTGAGTGCACCCAAGCTCACCTAATGTCCTGCATTCGCATTGCAAAAACACAATTCGTTGAGTCAAAGATATTTGATAATTCTCATTATTTACATTCAGTAAGTCATATTCCTGCAGAAAATATTGCAGCTTAAGCACACAAATTTCTCCGGCATTGTAAAATTAGCAATGGTTGAAAAATATTGCAGCTTAAGCACAAAATTTATCCGGTATTGTAAATTAACAATGGTTTTTTACCAACATTTATTGATATTCACTAAAGCATAACATAACCATGCTAAAATCTACTGCGGAGTTAATTAAATAAAGCTACTTTTACTCAAGAAAAATACAATTGAACTCATATTGACAAACAAAAATTCTAAGAGGATCAAAAGAAACTAACACTGTCTTTTAGGTAGAAAAGGGCATTAGAAAAAATCGTGGGGAAACAGAGAATGAGATCAGTTTCATCCTTAAGGTTTCGAAACTTGACAACTAATCCTACATGTGTTAGTAAAGAATTAACAACATTGAATATCGAAATTTGCAGTTTAGAAGTTATGACCTCGGATTGGAGAACGAAAAACGGGGCGAATTGAGGCGAGAGGAAGGGGAAGGAGGCCGCAGTCGGCGAGGGGCGGAGAGTGGCGGCGAGGAGCGGGACAAGGAAGCCCTAGCGGTGGACATGAGCGATCTGGAGATGGAGCCACGCCAAGCCATTGCAGCTGTTGTTGCCGGAGGAGTTCGTGAGGTGGATCTTGGGAGAAATGCGAGCGGAGGGTTTATCTCAGTCGAACAAGGGTTTTGGGAGAAAATAGAAATGATGAGATCATAAGATGCTACGCACCCGAGGGCCGAGACTTGCACAAGCGAGACTGTCACGGTCAATCTNATTCTTTGACTAAGTAAACAATAAATAATAGAGTGTTATAAAAAGGAAAGACAAAATAATAGAGAGAATGTGTTTTTTGGTATGATTTTTGTTATAACTGAAACTCTTATTTATAAGAAAATTTTTGATGACACAATAGTAATAATACAATTTGTATAGTCATTCACACATATAAATATTATTTCATTGGTATTATTGATATTTCATAACATTTCCTATTGAATGACTATTTTTTGAACATATTGGAACGAAACTCAATCTGAACATCTTGAAGCGTAGTTTGTGGTCGTCAGAAATCGCTCTGCTTTAGCATGTCAAAAAAACCTGGTGGGACAAAACATGAGCATTGTAGAAGCATAACATCGCTCCTTCTCAAATAAATTATCTTTAGTGGAGTATTTATGTGCTGCATCATTAAAACATTTTCAAGAAAACCTAATGGGACAAAATTCTAATGAAGAAAAAAGAGTACACTATACATGTAAATACGTCATCCATGTTGCCTCAATAAAAATCTTGCTAGAAAAACCCGATGGGACAAAACATCAACAAAGGAAAAAGAGTACAACACGTATTCCATATATTCACCATAACAACCTTTCTATAATTTGTACGAATATCATATAGATTTATTCATTCATTTTTTTATATACTGATGGTATTCATGATATATCACATCATGTTTCGTGCAACTTTCAGTCTTAAACTCATTCTCATCATCAGTTGATTTCAATGGACTTACGGCCAATAGTTTTCAATATTCACATTTCAGTTGATTTCATTCTCGTCAATATCATTTATAGCGCCATTCATTTATTTGTGTTGACACTTAATTATTCCTTTTATTCTCCGTAATATGTTGAGATATCTCATCATCAATTGATTGCATATATTTGTCCTGTTTTTATACTTTTCATCAATAGTATATGCCTCATTTCATCACTTATAAATTTGAGGAATTTCAATTTGCATAATACCAATGCTTTCAGTATATTATTCCATCATCATTTCATTGATATAATGATTTTCATACTTCCAATGTGATGCATATATCATTTACAAGTTTCAATCCTTGATTCTCCCCCTAATCAAATCTCTTGTAAACTTTACTCACACTTGATCTATATTACCAATATTAAATTTCTTGAGGGGAGTTCATATAATTTTCATTCTGTTCTCGATTTCGACATATAATAGGAGGACTTTTTGAACCCATATCACTTGTAATGTGCACATTTTCCTTTCAAAAGTTCATTCTTCTCAGTTGGGTATATCACTTGCTTTGTCACATTTTCATATGACACTTGTTTTAATTCTTTCATATCATCTCGTAAACTTCTGGTTTTACAGGTAGTCCAGGTGGAAACCCTCTTGACCCAACCCGTGATCCCAAGATCCTACTCAACCATCCCACTATATATACTATTATTTTCTATTGTAAATTTAAATTCTTCATTCCCATTTTAGGTGCATAATCATTTCGTATTTTCAATTTAGAAAACTAGTACTCGATCATGTGCACTTGCACACATGTAAATAAAATATTATAAGTTATATGTTAAATATTATATTTAAAATTATAAGTTAGATAATGAGCATATTGCATTTTATAAATTTTATCATTATTAAAAAATTAACAATATAATTATAAACTATTTTACTTATATATGAACCGTTTATAGATTGCACAAATTTCATGGATAATATAACTTTTTTAAACTTAAGGATCATGACCAATTAATTAGTTTAATTATTACTACTACTAATACGAATCCCATGCAATGCACGAGAAACAATATTAAATTTATAGTTAAATATAATCTATTTATTATAAGCAAGATTGTTTGCGTTCCTTTTATCTACATAAAAAAAGTATCTGTCATGCGATTAATACTAATATATTTTGTATGAAGTATTTATAAAATATCCATCAAAATTTATATGTTTAAAAGAACATAAAATTTATATACATAAATATACCCTCCTAAATTCACATATATTAAAATTACTGAAATATTCTATGTCCTACTAAAATAATTATAAAAACACTAATTTCTAAACATATTAAAAACATCTCAAATATTTAAATTTTTTAGGATAATCTTCAATTACTACACTATACATATATACAATATTTAATAAATATTTTCTCCCAACCATTATATAGACTAATAATTAAATAAACTCCCTAGCTTGTTGAGGGTGTATTTATTTAAGTATTCTAAAGTTTTACAACTTTTCAGAAATTGTGAATTTTGAATGTATTTAACTAAAATTTTTAAAACTCTAAGAAGTTTTGAGATATTCAATTATGATATTCCATGACTTTTTAAAAGTGTCTAAAAATCTAGAGATATTCAATCTGGATTTTTTAAAGTCTCGTAAACTCACAAGATATTCATTCCTTTTATAATTCTTTGCTATATTTACTTGAATTTAGAGGTTACTTTCTTATAATCGAAACTAATATGTATAAATAATAATATTTCTTTAAATATAAATAGATCTAACTCCTCAATATAATGTATATATATATATATATATTAATTTCCTATCATATATTGAGTAAGAATAAAAACACAATTTTAGTACCGAGATGTCTGAGAAGCTGCAAAATGGAGAGAGAATTGGCTGTAAAGCGCCTTGGAACTGTTCGTTTGGGTTCAAACCCTCGAAGATGTGGCGGCCATCGCGGTTTCCTATAATATATCATGTCAGAATAAAGAAACACAATTGTGAAATGGAAAAAACATATTATGTGAGAATTGTGCTTTCATCTTTAGTAAATCCGAGACCATGGATTATCTGATATTTTTATTTGAAATGCAATATTAATATTTTAATATTATTTATAATTTGTTCATGTAATTTATATTAAATATTTTAAAATTATTTTCATACTTTGAAATTTTTAAATATGTCTTTAGCTCCATAATTTGAACCGAGTACTCCATGTTTAAAATTGTGCTTATTTAATAAACAAGTTGGTGCGCCTCGAACTTGTTAATAAACGGTAAAAAATGTGAGCTCGGATTAAACTCATGTAAACTTGGTTCAACTCATTTAGCAAACTACAAAATTCAGACTAAAATACGAAATTCTAACTGAGTTGATTGTGAAGACGTTCGGCTCGATTTATTTGATAGACAAACTCGATTAGATTGTTTGAGTTTGATTAGTCTAAATATATAAGCGAGACAAACTCGAGTTTTTACAAGTCAATCGAACTATGTTAGGGGACAACTTGATTCGAACAACAACCACACATGTTTAGCCTTGAGGGTAAAGAAAAAAAGCTACGCCCCTGCACAACGTCTTCGCACGTTTTATGATGAAAAATTTAACTTATCAGCCGTTAGGTGTAAAAAATTTAATACGTTTTAATAGTTAGTTGAAAATGAATATTTTCACATATCTAAGACGATCACGCAATGTGTATGATATTTCTTGCACATTGTATTGATAATACCAAAAAGAACAAACTCCTAGTCTCATGTAATATAATTATTAATACGAACATAATCAGATTCACTCAATATATACATTAAAAATAACATAAAGTATAACATTATACTTTCTAATATACACCATCCTCAAATTAATCATATCACCACAATGAACTCACACATAATTAATCATCACACACGATAACCTCTAAATTATGTTCCTTTTCTCCGTTTAATATGTTTTGATCACAATTTTTATTATTCCACCACAAATTTTGTATATGTATGCATGTGGCCCCAAAATTATTGCGAAATGGAAGCCGACGAGATAGGCATAATGTTGAACATGATATTGTCCCTTACTCGGGAATCAAAACGCTCCGTTTCATCACACTTCTTGGCCACCTAGAAGAGACGCGACTCCAAAATTATACTACCTCCTATTCTTTTTAAATGTCATTTTGGCTTTATCAACTATTAACCAAAATAAATGTCGTTTTGGAACTTTTGTACATATTTTTTCATTATTACCCTCATTTAGTTAATAAATACACTACGTCTTTTCATATTCTCTTCATCTTTTTTTTTTTAAAACATCCATCTCTATCTTCATTAATGAGGGTTATTATTGACAAAAAAATTATTCTTAATTAGTGTGCAACTTCCCAAAACGACACTTATTATGAATAGGAGGGAGTAATTATTATTATTACAGCATCATAATTGTAGTTCTGAATATTAATTGAGAAATACCTACGGGAGCTGCCACTCTAGACGGTACCGCTACAGTCCCCATCAATTTCTACTCCATGAACCTACTCCTCATATTAAAAGTCTTTAACCCCCCTTATCTCTTAAGAAATTAAATTATATTTATATCTTATTAGAAGTCTTTAACCCCTCTATCTCTCTTGCCTTGTATCGTCGTTTCCTACAAATTTTTACTGACTAACTTCTTCACAGCACCCATAACAGGATCAAAGTTCAAACAGGTTACTTTGTAATTAAAAAAAAAAAAGAAAAAAATCTATCTCCCAAACCCAAAACGATGTCCTCCCACAGCAACACCGCGTCCCACTATCGGCCATCAACGACACCCCTTTTATCGGCGACCAGTCATTCTTCCGCACCCGCAGCTGATTCCTACGCTGTCCCCCCAGCTTCGACGGTGCCACCCTCTTCCTCCGCCGCGCCAGCAGCCGCGGCCATGCGATGCGCGGCGAGCCCTCTGTCCGTGTTCGCGAGCCCTATGGTTTGTGATTCCTTATTTTGGAACCAATTTTATTTTGCAGCAAAAAAGAAGAGAGAACTCAATTTTAATAAATCTTTGAAAATTCTAAAATTTATGGGGGAATTAGAAGAAAAATGGAGAGAGATAAGAGAAGAAGTNGCAAAAAAAAAAAAAACGATTTGGGGGAATTAGAACAGGAAAAATGGAGAGAGATAAAAATGGGTTGACAGAAGAGATACGAGAAGAAGTATAGGACAAGATAATAAGACGATTTGGGAAAATTAGAACAGGACAAAATGGAGAGAGATAAAAATGAGTTGACACTCAATACAGTGGAAAGTTGACGGGGCAAGAAGCATTTTTCTATTATTATTATTTTAAATAAGTAAGTTTGTTATTTTTTAATTATTAGTTATATATATAAGTTTTTATCATTATGAATATAAATTCCTTCACATCTTTATTTTTATACAAATTAATTTCCCAGCACCCATGTTTTGTTCATCGCGTTATATTAAATTCCAAATATATTAATTATTATATTTACTTCTAACAAAATTAAATATATATTAAATAAAATAAATAATACTTCATAAAATATTTTATATAATTTTAAATAATATTAAAAAATTACTTTATTATTAATTATTTATAGTTTTTTTATTTTACAATAAAAATTTCATATTTTTCACTTTTTCTTGCACAATTACTTTTTTTTATAAAACATTCACTTTTTTTTTATAAAACGCCCGTGTACTTCACGGTGTACTAGCTTAATAATACTAGTAAACAATACAAAGACACCACAACACGAGGAGAATAAATCACACCAAATTTTTAATATAAATTACCAAGAAAACAAGAGTATTAAACACAGAAATATACATTACCAACAAAACAAGAGTAATAAAAACAGAAATGGTTAGCATATAAATAACCTAATGTGGCTAGGTACTAGCGGCTCCAGCTGCTTTTTGGCGTAAACCTTTGCTATTTCAGCCAATTCTAATTGTTCAGAATCAAGTGTTTCGTAGGCGAAACGTAGCTGAGTTTGGGTATCAACAATGATTTCCTTAAGCGCAACACAGTTCTCCAACAAGTAGTTGACCAATTCAACGTCACTCGGGCAAGCATAATAACCTAAAAACCGAAAAACATTCAAGTGCTGGTGCATTGGGAAGTACTTAAATCCCTTGTGAATTTCCCTGTCTGACATTTCAGCATTAAACCACGATTGCTGCCCATACAAGTGAATAAAATAAGTTTTTTGTATACCAAGTTAACACGTATAATATAAGACAAAATATACAAGTAGTAAAGCCATTCAATGATAACATTTACAAAGATGTTTGGGATAGACAAACCTTTAACTCAAATTCTTGCAGGTTGGGAGATGCACTGATAAAATGAGCTAGGCCAAGAAGACTCGTGTCCATACGATCTATACCTTCCATGATAACCAACTTCTTAAGTTTAGGCATCATGGGGAATTTGAACATCCATAGAAGCTCCTGCAATAACAAATAAACAAAGATATCAGTTGATTAGTAGTTGCATACAGGATCACTGGGCCCTTCTTTTAAATACCTTTCTATAAAACCATACGAGCTCTACTGTTGATTTGACAATCATTAGTGTATTATATGACCGACGATTGTCAAATCAACAATAGGGCTCCATTATCAAGTTTTATATTTACTTTACAATCACTTAAGTGAAAAATAAACCAATGTAGAAAGACAGCTTACCTTGTTACGATAAATGTTCAAGGTGAGAATCTCCAAATGGGAAAGACGGCAACGTAAGGTAGAAATTAATCTCTCTACATACATAGAACGACACAAAGAGTCCGCATAGGTCACATAAACACTAGTAAGCATTGGAACGTCCTCAAGCAAGAGGCCTTCTATTTTATCAAGTACAAGTGAAGTTAGTTTCGGAGCAGAAATTCTCAACGATTTTAAATTTTTGCACTGCCGTATCTCCAAATGCTTTAATACAAGGAATGGTCCACAAACTTCAAGACGTGTCAATTTATCAGAGGCACTGACAATTAACTGCTCGAGCAATGGGCAGCCACGTAAGAGAAACTCAATAGTTTCATCGGAGACTTCAATACTGCCCAAGTGCAACATTTTTATGTTGAAAAGTCTAGTAGAGATATCTCCCCATAACTCTTGCGGAAACACGTACGATTCATCTGGGTCCTGACCCCAATTACCTTCTGAAAGGTTCAACTCCAACTTTTCGGTGTGCCTCTCAAAAGCAAATTCAAGCCACTTCGTAATTGACTTTCCTGCTGATTTGACTAAACTAAAGCATATTCTTAATTCTTTCACGGTGGACCCTCGGTGTGATTGGAGAACCGAATCCACCCACTTTACATACTTTTCCCTCTCAACACTGACAATGTGAAATTCTGAAGCCCGTATAATCTTCTCCATCGAACTATAGCCATCAAAGTTGAGATGTGAGATGTAACTCCACAGGTTTTTCCAACGAGATGAAAGAACACTTGTTCGCCCAACTTTTCTCATTGAAGCGCGACTCTATATATATATATATATATATATATATATATATATATATATATGTAAAACTGACAAAACTAAATATATATTAAATAAAATAAATAAAACTTTATAAAATATTTTATAGAATTTAAAATAATATTAAAAAATTACTTTCTTATTAATTATTTATAGTTTTTTATTTTACACTGAAATTTTCATATTTTTCACTTTTTCTTGCACAATTACCTTTTTTAAAAAACATTCACTTTTTTTATAAAACGCCCGGTGTACTTCACGTTGTACTAGCTTAGTAATACTAGTAAACAATACAAAGTCACCACAACACGAGGAGAATAAATCACACCAAATTTTGAATATAAATTACCAAGAAAACAAGAGTATTAAACACAGAAATATAAATTACCAAGAAAACAAGAGTAATAAAAACAGAAATGGTTAGCATATAAATAACCTAACGTGGTTAGGTACTAGCGGCTCCAGCTGCTGTTTCGCGTAACCCTTTGCTATTTCAGCCAATTCTAACTGTTCAGGATCAACTGGCTGGTAGGCCACACGTAGTTGAGTTTGGGTATCAACAATGATTTCCTTAAGCGCGACACAGTTCTCCAACAAGTAGTTCACTAATTCAACGTCACTCGGGCAACCATAATAACCTAAAAAACGAAAAACATTCAGATGCTGGTGCAGTGGGAAGTGCTTCAATCCCTTCTGAATTTCGTTGTTCGACCTTTCATCAGCTTTTAACCACCTTTGCTGCCCATACAAGTGAAAATAAAATAAGTTCATATACTAAGTTGACATGTATAATATAAGACAACAAATACAAGAAGTAAAGCCATTCAAGGATGACGAAATTGTAGGGATATTATTTACAAAGATGTTTGGGATAGACTAACCTGTATCTCAAATTCTTGCAGGTTGGGAGATGCACTGATAATATGAGCTAGGCCAAGAAGACTCGTGTCCATACGACCTAAACCTTCCATGATAACCAACTTCTTAAGTTTAGGCATCATGGGGAATTTGAGCATCGGTAGAAGCTCCTGCAATAACAAATAAACAAAGATATCAGTTGATTAGTAGTTGCATACAGGATCACTGGGCCCTTCTTTTAAATACCTTCCACTTTAGTTACTTGTTGGAAGATTCCTCAACTTCTCACAGTTTACCAATTCCTGCTCAACCTTTTAAATATATAAATATCTTCTTTTTTTTTTTTTGAACTTTCAATATATATGATTTTCAAAATAATTTCATGTTTGTTTCCAAACAAACATATTACATGACAAACCAAAGATTAGTCAAAAACTTTTGAAAAATTAACTTAAATAATTTAACTTATTTATTCTTATAAACATTAATGGTTACTGGCAAATTTTACACAAACAAAATGCTTACTAAGCATGCGGAAAAAGTCAGCAGAATCCATTGGTTTAAAAATGATAATAGATGCTACATTATTAAAATGCAATTTATAAATACTGAACTACAATTATACTGTTTTTTTTTACGCAATTAACCCGAAATTTCTATAAAACCATACGAGCTCTACTGTTGATTTGACAATCATTAGTGTATTATATGGCCGACGATTGTCAAATCAACAATAGGGCTCCATTATCAAGTTTTATATTTACTTTTACAATCACTAAGCTCCATTAAGTGAAAAATAAACCAATGTAGAAAGACAGCTTACCTTGTTACAATAAATGTTCAAGGTGAGAATCTCCAATTGGGAAAGACGGCAACGTAAGGTAGAAATTAATCTCTCTACATACATACAACGACGCAAAGAGTCCGCGTAGGTCACATAAACACTAGTAAGCATTGGAACGTCCTCAAGCAAGAGGCCTTCTATTTTATCAAGTACAAGTGAAGTTAGATTCGGAGCAGAAATTCTTAAGGATTTTAAATTTTTGCACTGCCGTATCTCCAAATGCTTTAATACAAGGAATGGTCCACAAACTTCAAGACGTGTCAATTGATCAGAGGCACTGACAATTAACTGCTCGAGCAATGGGCAGCCACGTAAGAGAAACTCAATAGTTTCACCAGAGACTTCAATACTGCCCAAGTTCAACATTTTTATGTTGAAAAGTCTAGTAGAGATATTTCCCCATAACTCTTGCGGAAACACGTACGATTCATCTGGGTCCTGACCCCAATTACCTTCTGAAAGGTTCAACTCCAACTTTTCGGTGTGCCTCTCAAAAGCAAATTCAAGCCACTTCGTAATTGACTTTCCTGCTGATTTGACTAAACTAAAGCATATTCTTAATTCTTTCACGGTGGACCCTCGGTGTGATTGGAGAACCGAATCCACCCACTTTACATACTTTTCCCTCTCAACACTCGAACCTTCTGGATCCCGGATAACCTTCCACATCGAGCTATGGTCATCAAAGTGGAGATGTGAGATGTAACTCCACATGTTTTTCCAACGAGATGAAAGAATACTTGTTCGCCCAACTTCTTTCAATGGGAGGAAAGATAGGATAGCAAGGAGAATGTCATCGGGTAATCGACTTATAAGATTATCAGTACGCTGCCAAGCAAACACAGGATAAACCATTAAGAATGCAATAATCAACAAGTTGCATGTGATTTTTCAATAACTATTCATAAAATATTTGTATTCTCAAAAATAAACTTAAACTATTGTTTTGGATGCAGGCTATATCAGATTCAAACTCAAAATTTGAAAACACGACATCATTAGACAACAATCAATAAATTATCAAAGCAATGTTACACATCCAATTAAAATCTTTTAGAAACTATGAAAATAGGAACAAGTTTTGGAACAATTTAATAAAATTCAAACTGAAAAATTGCAAACACGAGACAAAAATCAATATATTAAAACAATCTTCCACATTCAATTAAAATCTTTGAGAAGCTATCAAAATACAAAAAAGTTTTGGAACAATTTAATAAAATATTGAATAATATTTCTTATATAGTCAATATGAATTATCAATCCATATAAATTGTGAAATTCATATCGAAATATATATAAATTGTGAAATTCATATGAGCCAAGATTTAGAAAAATACAGAATTCCGACATGCAGGTAAAATAATTAAATCATTTGAATCAAGAAAAAAGAAAAATAGTCTGTCAAATAGTTACCTCGTGCAAGCCCTTTTGATTTATCATATCCATGTAAACAGTTTTTCTAAAGGTTGAAGCGAGGTTGTTTTGGTTAGAGCAAGAAGAAAAAGAAAACTACGATGATTACGAAGTAGAGATTACGGCTGCTTTATATATATATATAGGGAGTGGTTCAAATAAAAACTATTTCTGGTGTGAGAACCGTGAGAACCATATTTGATGCTATTTTTAATTGTGTATGATGCTATTTTTAATCGTGCTATCATTTTTACAAATGCTAACATAAATTGTGTTGCTATTTTTAATAAAATACATCCTGATTAAAAATAGCACTAAATACAATCAATCATAGCACTAGATACAATTAAAAAGAGCGATTCTCACGGTTCTCACGCTAGGACTTGGTTCTCATTTGAACCACATCCTATATATATATATAT